ACTCAGTAAGGAAATATCCAAATCATCGTCCAAATTATTAGTTGACTTATTTTTAAAACGTTTTAAAATGCCTTATTGAATCATAATAATGATCTCATTTGCTTGTGAAAGATGGTGACATCACTGGGATGGTTGTTCCTAGTTAAGCAGATTCTCCTGACCTCTTCTACATTGAAACATTAGTCATTTGTTAGAAAAATAAAGAAGTTTCATAAACATCACGACATAAAACAGTGGAAATATTCCTTTGAAACCTATACTCCTTTTCTATTCAAAATTCAAAAACAGGCTAAATTGAACTGGTTTCTGACAGCAAAGGATGGTGGCTTTTGATCTTTAATCCTTTGTAATAAATTCGTCAAAAGATAAAATATTTTATTCTATTGGCCAGTCATTAGCTCTTTTAATTGTATATCTGGTTTATATCATTTTCAACAATATTTTTGCACGAATGAATGGATTAAAAAAATCTGTATTTTGTAATGAATGTATTTAAAAACTCTGTATTTTGTAATGAATGTATTTAAAAATTCTGTATTTTGTAATAAATACAATAACAGGCGGCCTTATGCATGGTATATCCCAAAAACTATTTCATAAAGAAAAAATCAATAATAAACAAGTACACAAATATAGAAGAAAAGCGGAGAAAATTTCCTTTTTTCTTATAATTGGTGTAAAATATAAATATAAAAAAAAAAAGAAAAGGAAAAATACAACTGTAGAACAATATAAATAAAAAGTACTGACTTTGAGAATATTAAAAAAAAAATAATGAAATAAATACGCAGTAAGAGAATTAAAAAAATCGTAACAAAGATTTTTTTATCTTCCTATTAAATGTAGCAATATAAATTATACAAAACGATATAAGCCATAGTATTATCATCCTAGCTTTTTAGTTAAAAATGACAGAATGACTTAATGTGATAAACATAAACACTTATATTACATACATTTAATCGGTATTATAAACCTTACAATGAGCAATACCGAGTGTATGGTGCAGATTCAGGGAGATCTGTCTGAGGGATCACTCTCTCAGAATGGCTTTCGACAGAGAGATTCCCAAGCTGTTTGCTCTTCAAGATAGGTCTGGAAAAAGCTGCCAGAGAATCAAAGGTTCAGACAAGTGGAACCATCTTTAATCATGTGGTACAAATCCTGGGATATGCTGATGATATCGACATTATTGGGAGATCAAAAGCTGTAGTTAAAGAAGCCTTTTTTGCCCTTGACGATGCTGCCAGGAAGCAAGGACTTGTTGTTAATACAAAAAAACCAAATATATCACAACTAGTCAACAAAGAGGTATTAACGGAAGCTTCGTCCAAATTGGTAACTACTGTTTTGAACGAGTAGCATGCTTGCGAATAGCATCGGCCAATAGGTTTTGTGCATATTTTGGACTGCGTTGGCACTTAGGGAGTAGCTCATTATCAAGATCTACAAAAATAAGATTATATAAGAAGCTGACTTATTCGTCCAGTATTAAACTACGCCTCAGAAACCTTGGAAATTTTCGATGTCCGATGAAAGTGATCTCTAAACGTTTGAGAGAAAGATACTCAGACGCATCTAAGACCCAGTAAAGGATGGTTCAGCTTGGAGAAGACGGACGAACAGGAAAGTGTATTCGTTGATTGGTGAGCCTGCTCAGAGTACGGAATTGGAGAGCAGCAGCCCTGAATCGATTAAACTGGCGGAAGCTGCTTGAGGAGGCCAGGAGTCAGTAATGGAGGCTACATATTGTACCATTTTCTTCCGTTCCAAATTGTAGGCCGTTCCATTAAGTTAAACAGGGATTCCAATAAATTGGTTAACCTAATTGGTCTGTGTTTGATTACACACTTTTTAAACTATCGTTCTCCATGGTTGAAGCTACTAATATTTTTTTAATGCTGAATTATGTTTTCAACTGAGTACTGAGTTTATATCGTTGGAAATGGAGTCATTATATATATATTTATCTTCTTTTTTTTTTTTTTTGAGCTGTACAAGATTTAATTTCCTCCATGTAACAGCCATCACACATCCAGAATTTCAGCTTATATTACTGAAGCAATTACCGGTTGATATATCAAAAATAATTATCTCTTAGTGTGCCGCGTGTTGAAGGAAGAATGAAAGGGATGCATGGAGACGCCTGATAAAGTGAGATTTTTTTTTTTGCTATTTTTGACGCCCCATCAAAAATGTCCATGGAATTTAGGAGTCTACAAAATCAAGTGTGCCACCAAAAAGAAACTTTATGGTCCGTAACTAGGACAAAATTTATTATGGAATTTTAAAATCTTGGGAAAATACAAGGGTTGGTCCATGACCATCGTGACACCCTGCATAAGTAAAATAAAAAAAAACCTATACCACTACAACCCGTGGTCTTGGGTGCTGTACTATGTGAGGAAATACTGTTACAAAGCCAATGGTTGTGCAGAGAGGTGATAGGGCTGATATCACGCTCAACCATCACGGTTTTCTCCCTTAATTAATTATTTAATTAAGAGTACCCACTTCATAGCGACTGGGTGTGCCCCAGGAAGGTCTCCCGACCCCGGAGTCGATCCATGGCTAATGCAAAATTACTAGTCATCAGCCGGATTTGACCCTGGGACCTTGAGATCTGGAATTCAGTGCTCACCCACTGAGTCAGTGCTAAAATAAGAACCAAAGATAAATATGTAACAAAGGACTATTCAAGGACCTATAAAATTTACAAATAAGCTACTCAATATGCTTTTAGCATAGACAAGTTCATCTACCAAATACTTCATCAGTATCAAATCATTTTTTACCAATAGAAAATATTTTTTATTACTTCCCTAACATATTTCGATTTAAAGTCTTCATTCGCGCCTAGGTTCCAAATCACATAAACTTTGTCTTCCGCAGTCTACTTCCAAGTTTCACTAAGTTCATTTTTTCTTGACTCTTCTTTGGAAGATTATCATTAATTAATTAATACCTATATATTCTTGCGGATGGAGAAGCACAACTCTATTTATTTATTTTTAATACGATTAAAATATCTATGGACTTGATATGGATAGATGAAACTAGTGAAACACAGCTGTTTACAGAAAACTACGAAGTTAAAAAAAAATGCAGCATCATGGATTATATCTATCTACTTGGTTTTTGGTCTCCGACATGGTAGCATAACAACCACTGAAGCATTTTTTTGTAGGTTAGTAGAACTCTACTCTGAGTTATTGAACTTCAAACTATCAATCAACATTACTACATTCACGTTCTTGCAGAAAGAGCTGAATGTATAATAAAGGAGGTGACCGAAGAAGACATCCAGTAATCTTTTAAAAAATGGAAGATTCGCATGGTACCGTGTAAGGATAGAGGAGGGGTGTATATTGAATGTGGTTAATAGATACATATATTTGAAATCAAAATAAAATGGTGTCTTTAAGGAATATATGAGCCCTTATACTTAAAAGATTTATTCAACTTCAACGACGCTTCGAGCTAAATTGCTCATTTTCAAGTCATTAAAAATTCAAATAAAAAATATGTATCCATAGAAACATATTTTTATGTTATAATCTCATTAAATACTCATTTTCGGTACTCCAAATACAAAAATAACACTATTCCTTTTCTCATTTTATGGTCCTTTACTCTAACGCTGGTCCAATCTCTAATAATTAAATTTTTGGTAGATTCCCTAGCAACTTTTTTGTCTTCCGCTCTTTCTATAATTGTTGACAACTTCTTAACAATTCTCCCATACTGCGTCGTATGGCCCTCATCCTTGTCTATAATATCATGTGTATATTTAGCTACAACAGTAGCATTTTTCAAGAGCACTCGATGTTCTTATATATGGTGTCATCAAGGAATATTTAAGCCCTTATACCTTGAAGATTTATTCAACTTCAACGATGTTTCGACCTGATTTTTCCATTCTCAATTCATCAAAAATTCAAACCAAATATTTTTATCTATGAAAACATATTTCTATATTATAATCTCATTAAATATTCATTTTCGGTTCACCAAATACATGAATTGAGAATGAGCAAATTAGCTCGACTCGTTGAAATTGAATAAATCTCCTTCAAGACACCAGATATAAGAAAATTAAGTGCTCTTGAAAATACTACTCCAGAACCAAAAATAAAAAAAGAAACCTGTACCACTAGAACTCATGAAGGGTCTTGGGTTCAGTACTACTTAGGGAAAGTACTGTTTCAAGGCCAACGGTTGAGCAGGAGGGAAGGATCGGGCCAGGATCACGCTCAACCACCAGAGGTTTCCCCCCTTAATTCATTATATAATTAAGGGTACCCACTTTGTAGAGGCTGGGTGTGCCCCAGGAGGATCTCCCTACCCAGGGTCGTACCATGTCCAATGAAACAGAATAAATACATTTTCTGCCATTAGCCGGAATTCGAACCTGGGACCTTGGGCATTGGAAGCTTAGTGCCCTACCCTTACACTAGTAGCTAAATATACAAATTTTGTATCAGTCTCATTATTTACTAGCCAGATTTGTATAGGATTTTTTCATAATTAGTTCGGTTTATACGAAGATTTGAAGTAATACTACAAAAAAAAAAAAAAAAAAAAAAAAACCTATACCAGTACAACCTATGAAGGGTCTTGGTCTACTATTTAGAGAAAGCACTGTTGGTCTACGAGATGATTAGACCGAGATCACGCTCACCCGCCAGGTTATTCCCCCTTAATTAATTATTTTAATTAAGGGTCCCCACTTTATAGATTCTGCGTGTGCCCCAGGAGGGTATACATACCCAGGATCGCCTCACGGCCAATAAAACACAATAAATAATTTTCCTGCCACGAACCGGGATTCGAACCTGGGACCTTTAGCATTGGAAGCCCAGTACCCTACCACTGAGCTAACCCAATCTCTAAAAGTAATGTGACATTTATAATTTTACATCAATACCACAGTCAAGAAATGACTGACTCCTTTCATTATGATAAAAAAGTAAAATTTATAAACATATTTTATTAATTACCAGGTGGTGGTCTCATGCAGATGAATCTTCCAGAATAGCAGAGACACCTTCCCCTGTATGCCTGGTAGGCGGGAGCCGCATGGTTGTAGAATGCGAAGTCGGTTTGGCATGGTAACCTTTCAACGCAGATTGTGTTGCATGTCAATGAACCGTCCCGGCACAAGCACACCTCAGAACAATCTGGTTCTCGTTCTCTGTAAATCTGGAAATAAATAATAACAACTCTTTATTTATTTATTTATGTATTTAAACACGCATATAGTCGTTAATCTACCAAACCACGAAGCTATATGAAATTCTAAATTACGTAATCTATTATGCGATAGAAAGTCTTTCAGTATGCATGCAAATATAAAAAGGTTGTGGAATCATTAATCAATAAAATAAATATAATGATAGTTACCTTAGTAATAAAAAATATCTTATATAGCTTCTTATTATAAGGTTTTTTCTGAGTGGGATAAAAAAATGATATTATTATTTAGCACACTACCGAAAAACTATCAAATAAAACTATTACTTAAAACAGGCATAATTATTAATTATACAATAAAAATAATTTTCGAAGAAAAAAATATTCAAAAAAGCCATTAGTATTTTACAAAATACTACATTTTACTTTCATAAAACCTATGCGGAATATATATATGTACAGGGTGTTTCGTAATTGCACGGCACTATTTTAGGTATGAGATCACTAGCACAAAATAAACACAAAAGTTCATATTAACATACATCTCAAACTCATTTGTTAAACAGATATCAAAGGTTAAAGATTTATTATTTATTTACTACATTAGGACTCGACTGTACAAAATTTTAACGTGTTTAATATTAAATGACAGGTTTTACTGTTTAATCACCTGATAAACAAATGAACGATAAGCAATGGCAGTAGTTGCTCATCTGTTTGTCTAGTTCTGTGTGTTTTAGTGTGAGTGAATACTGTGACACAGTTCAATTTATGATTACCATGGGAGACACCATAAATTTATTCACTTTTACAGAACAAACAGGCATGTTTTCAACTTATGGCGAGGTACATAGATACGGTGCTGCTGCTGTTCGAAGATATCGTGGAAAATTTCCTAACCGAAGAATACCAAATCATAAAACGTTTGAGGCCCGTGAAAGACGCCTTAGGAACAATGGCATGCTAAAACAAATACGAGTAAACGCCGGTCGACAAAGATTTCTGCAACGTTGAAGAAGAAATACTCAATGCTGTTTATTATCTCCTACTACTAGTACCACAAGATTGTCACGTCGTTTTGATGTTTCCTCTTCCAGTGTGTGGTGAACAATTAATGCTAAGTTATCGTTAAAATACACAAATATCTTCACACTCTAGAAAATTTAGGAAAATCTGTTTGTTTTATATGGGTTCCCAGTCACGTGGGTATAGTTGGTAATGAGCTTGCGGATATGGCAGCCAAACAGGCACTCGCGCTCCCTGACCGAGGTACTCCTATCCTGACCCCTCCAGAAATGATGAGTTTTCCTCTCAAGAACGAAATATTGGATAGTTGGAAACCTATGTGGAACGAAAGCCCACCAAGCAAATTAAAAGTTATACTAAACTCGGTGAAACCCTGGAGCACATCAAATCGTGCCCTAATCGTAGAGAGGAGGTCGCCGTGACCAGGTTAAGAATATGACACACGAACCTAACTCATGTACATCTCATCACTAAGCAGCCACCACCAAATTGTCAGCATTGCAATAGCCTTCTCACTATCAATCATATTTTCCAAGAATGCCCTTATTATACTTCAAGCCTCAATCAATTGTCTCTAAAACCGGATATATCAACAATCTTAAGCAACAACAAATCCGACATAAAAAAAAGTTATAAAGTTTCTTAGAATACATAGGCTATTAAATAGAATATAAAAATAAATATAATTGTTATTTTATTGTACTGTCTTTTTTATATTTATTTTGATATATTTTATTTTTCATATGTTGTTTAATATCTTTTTAATTTATTACTCTATACAGTAATAATTATTAATTCCCCTCTAAAGAGTTTACAAATATAACCGACTCACAGGCGTTGATGACCCTAGGGTTTTAAGCCAAAATAAACAAACAAACAAACAATTGATGCTATACGAAGAGCTAGAGAAGCATGGATTCGTCGTGCTGAATGTTGCATTCAACAAAATGGAGAGCCCTTTGAACAGTTACTCTAAATGTTGTAATAATAATAAATAAATAGTAATAATAAATTGTTAACCTTTGATATCTGTTTAATAAATGAGTTTGAGATATATGTTAATATGAACTTTTTTGTTTAATCTGTGTTAGTTAACACATACCTGAAATAGTGCCGTGCAATTACGAAACACCCGTATACATAACTAAAGAATGATATTGAATAATGAATAAAAAAAATATCTATAATGCTGTCAATATTCACTTACCCTCTTACCATCTCCCTCAGCAATGTATTGGGATTTCTGTTCGGGTTTCTGAGCCACACAGTATCCTACAACATTAAATATTTTTTAAACATCTAATTTATGATTCATATCTCATATTTTTTAGTAAATATATTTTATTATAAGAGTCAAAGTGATAGCGCACAGTTTAAATAAATTCAAATCGGATTTTTAAAAAAATAACATATGGAAAAGTCATAACTGTAACATTAATTTAACTTTGATTCAAGATGATAATATTATATTTTATAATTCGCAACAATAATTCATAAAACAATATAGGAGACTGGCGGCGTTGTGCCTGGGTACGGTTGTGACAGTCGCCATATTAGCGAAACTATAAGAAATAGCCGATGGGATGTTAACGGGAAAAATGGGAGGCATGTGGGTCTGAACGTGTTTCACAGCAAAGCGTCAACCATCACGCGACATTAACGCAAGTAGAGGCCTTTATTTTAATTTTAAACGGACAAAATTAACTATTTTTATTCTATTTATTTGATTATTGTTTGTTATAAATGTTCAGAGACAGTAATGGTTGTTTTTCCTGGTTACAAGTTAAACATCAGTAGTTAAATAGCATCACTTTGTACGTAAATAATTTTGTACTACCAAGGCGACTTTTTATTTGAGAAGTGGGTTGTCCTACATTTCTACATCTCCCCTACATGATGTAAATTTACAGACGTCAAAGATATACTATCAATGTTATATTACCAATCATCTTCTGAGATGACCCTGAATGAAGTATAAATGACCCTAAACTAAACGTTGATGATTTAATAAAAATAAAATAAAAACGAATGAGTAGTTGTTTGGTAATAACATTATTTAAATATTCAATGGAATCAATATTTATTTTATTTATCTTTATTTATTTAAGTTATTAAGTATTATTTATTTTACCGTATTCGTTGCCTGATTTCAGGGTAAATTAAATAAAAATTAATATTATAGCTGTAATAGGCAAGTGGATGAAGATGGTGGATTACAGGATAAGGGTATTATTAAAGTGATTACGGGTGGTAATCATGGGGAAGATACCGCTAAGCATTAGAAAGCTGGACTTAAGTCGCGATAAGATTGGATTATTTTGTTCTAATTGCCTGGAGATATTTAGAGGGATAAAGAATTTAACGTATCAGCATGATCCTAAAGCCAATTATTATAATAAATAATATTAATTTTTTTAAACGTTTAGAAAGAATAATGTTTAAAAAAAAATATTTTGTTTAATAGTTCTCTTAACTGACATGCGGAGGTCACAATCAATCAATGGATCACAAATTGAAACTTATTTTTTTCTGGTGATTCTACATCGAAAAAAACTGGTGTGCCCGCTCATGCGACTTTCTTACCTATTTCAGAAAAGTATTTATATCTTTACATATGTCCATCATGAAACAAAGAAAAGATTTAAATACGATTTATTTGATAAACTAAAGCAATGTAAACCGGCTTAAGGTAGATCAGTGTAAAAATTTCAATACCCTTTAATATTGCTGATCAAAAACTTTTTGCCATAGCCTAATTTTGTCAAACAATAATTTCTGTTAAAAGTAGCGGAAATAGTGAAGCTTGTGTGATGCGGGCTACAGATTTTCTTACTTTCACTTAGTTATCGTTTTTTTCTCATTCAATCATTTCTGACACCAGGATATGAACCCGTAATCTTACATTGGAAATTGAATAGCTATAACTTCGTTAATATTTGTCCCAAATGAATGATTTTTATATAGTTTTGTAAGGAATTTCATTACCTTTAAAAAAAAGCGTTTTTACGTTACGAAGGGGGCTCTGAAACGTATGGATCCGTCGAAAGCTGTATATCGGAAATTTGACTCAATCACAATACTTTCCTTACCTAGTATAGGTAGGAAAGTAATAAATTAAAACATGTATAGAAACTAGAATAAGCTGAATCATCGCTAGTACTAGTTCAATTCTGATGATTTTTTTTTTTTGGTAATTTAAGTACCTTTCAAAAGTTTTATAATAAATTTTACCATGGGAGTTAGGCCCCAAAACATTTTTATTTTCTTTATAACTCTTTTTCATGAATTTTCTCGGGAATTTAGTCCATGTTGGAACATTGAAAAGACAATTATTAGAACATTACAGGAAAGCTTCATCAAAATCGTTATACCCGTTTTCGCGCTATAGTCTATAGAAAAACATGTTTTTAATTTATTTATTTATGCATGGAGCATCCAATTTGTGTAACAGGCATCAGTATTCAAAACCCAACAAAATAAAAAAAAGAAGCGACAAAATCGGTTCCCTAGCTCCCGAGAAAATCTTGGCACAGACAGACAGACCAATGGCTAAAAATGTGTTTTTCGAACTGAAGAGGCTCTGAAACGTATATATTCATCGAAAACCGCATATCAGAAATTCTTGTACGATGAAGGATTTCTGTCAGAGGATTCATGTTGTACCTCAGTCATTGGTGAAAGCTATTGTAATTTTCTTGAGCAGTGTCTAAAATTATTGTTACTTTTAAGTCTTAAGTATTATGTAGTATAACGTTTGCGACTTAGGTACTTTGGCTAAGTGTGCAAGTGGGTGCACTGCTCTAAGTGAATGAAAATTTAAATTACATTAAAATCAGATTATTCCTGAAGATACCTGAAGAGACGAAAATTTGGATAAATTTGAAATAAAATAATTATTTATCGAGGCTGAAAAGGCCTTTTTCTACTAGTACTTATTATAGTATCTTTCCCGAGATCATTTTTCATCTATTAGAGAAAATAAAAGTTTTCTCTCTTTTAGGTTTTTTTTTTTTTCGGTTTATATAATTTTCTTTATTTTTGTTTAATTAATCCTTGATATCCTGTACATAGAAAATACATGTATATAGTACATGTGTACATGTAATATAATAAGAATTATCGTACTTTTGCGAAAGTTATATTTTTATTATCAATGTTTGTAGCTATAGCTGATGTAGCTGTTTATATTTATGACTGTGATATGAGGGATATGGTTGAAACGTATGAAGTATTAAAACCAAGAGCCTTTGTATAGAGTTAAAACTCTACTTAAACAATGAAAATAAAATAATTTTTTATTTTTAAAGTAACTTAAGTAATAAATCATGAAAGAGATAGCTATACCAGTATATCAAAGAGAACGAAAATTACTCACTTGGCTGAGTTGTTGATATAGGTTTCTCGGTTGTAGTGGTAGTAGTTGTGGTTGTGGTTGTTGTAGTGGTTGTGGTTGTTGTCATCCTGGTTGTAATGGTTGAGGGAAGAGATGTGGTTGTCCTAGCTAGTGATGTGCTAGTTGGCAAGCTTGTCGGCATCATCATTCTGCTTGGAGTCGAAGGTAGAGTTGCCGTTAGCTCAGTCACAGGCTTTGTCGTCATCTTTCTAGCGTGGAAGTCTCTCTGCGAGGCAACTATAACAAAGATATCCTCATATATAAACCTTATGGCTTATCAAAAGAATTAAATTGACTTTAATCAAACGAAGGACATTAGTAATAGGGATACAGGAGTTTATTCACACCATATGTACAATAAATAGAAATAAAATAAATGGAACAACAGAAAAATAATAATACTAACAAAAAATACAGGCATCAATTTCCTATATTTAAAGGACTAATGCAAAACAGAAATGAAATCAAATGTGATTTAGCCAATCTTTTTGGTTTTTCGTCAACACACCTAGACATAATATTGGTCTTTGTATTGCGCACTCAGTCTTGGTCTTGGTATCATTCTTGTAGCAAGAGTCTCGCAAATCTTGCAATTTCCAATTAGGCTATTTCTATGTATTAAACACGTTAGTTTAAATCTTACAACAACGCAATATAGTAAGCACATTATAAGCTTATATTGACAAAATATTGTATATAGGTATGAATGTATGTGTTCTGTTTATTTATTTGTTTTTTAGGTTATTTTATTCTAATTTATTGTATAAATCTTATTTTTCTGTATAATTTATTTTATTTATTGTACATAGAGCGTGAATGTGACTACACTATTATAACTTTCCTTGAGACAGATTGTAATATTTTTCAATAAATAAGTTAAAAAATATATATTGACAAAGCCATTGTAAAGTCCAACAAAAATTAATAAAATTAACTTAACAATACACTAAAATTGGCCTATTAAATATTTTGTGTTAATTTTTATTCACAAAAAAACGTTTTTTTTTGTGTGTTTTTTTTTTTTGTATCTACGAACTTTTCATAAATTGTATGCTATTATTTTGAGAGCTAAGCTGAAATTCACACCACGCATAGGTATGTCTATGTTTTTTTTTTTAATTTATTATCTTAAAGTTATTTTATTTTTATTTATTGTTTAGACTTTAAGATTATTACTTCGTAGTTATGTTGTTTATGTTTATTTTCTAATATTCTTCAATATAACTATTGTCCACGTGACAGAATATTATATTACTTAATAAATAAATAAAATTTGAAAAAGAAAAACATTTAACAGAAAAATTTTTTAAACAAAAAATAGACAAATATATATATATATATATATATATATATATATATATATATATATATATATATATATATATATATATATAGTTATTAAAATAGCAGTGGATTAGTAAATAGACTTAGGCCAAAATAGGCCTGTTTTGCTCGTTTTTAACTGACGCATCTATTTTATGATAATATTACAAAAATAAAATTATACAGCTGATAATAACATTACGTAGTTGAAACAACCATTGTGTGGGTTATATACGTTGGGTACTTTATATTCTAATTAGGTACGTTTAAAATGTATATTATAAAGTGAGTTAAAATTTTTAGTACTATATTTAATGTTTAAAAGAAAACCAGAAATAATACTTTTACATTTAAGATTGAACTTAATTAATTTCATCGCGTGAACAGCAGGCATTCATAGTTGAGTTATAAGTTTAGGAAGGGAATATTATAAATGAAATATTGTTTGACGTCAATCTGCAGCTTTCCGAACAATTCTGCATTCAGTTCACAACAGTAGAACTATTCACAATTTTCGGTTTTTGTCTGACGAACAATGGAGTTTAAAAAAAAATACAATTAGTCTGTGTATTATTTCGAAGAAGTGTGTAATTTGTTTACGTTATTATAAAACATATTTATTTCAAATATTTAAAATTGTGTAATTAAAAACTTCATATATCCTAAGGACGCACAGTGTGGCCGAAACATCAATGTCAGACTAAAATTTTGAAACTTATCATTCTTATGTTTTGTGAAGTATTGGACCAGAATATTTTAAGATTGTTCGAATCATATAGCCAAAAACCTGTTTTGTTCCTTTAGTTAAAGAAAATATCTGGTGTGAGATACTGGCATTCAAACCACTAATACAACGTTGAGGAGGAATTAATTTTCGCTCGAATAGCAGTAGATAATATTTAAATTTATTATCGACTCTTAAGATGTTAGATTTATAGCCATATATTGTTCTCACCTGTAAATGGTACTTGAAAAATGTTTAAATAGAATAAAAAATATATTTTTTTTAACAAAACAACGAATTTAAGATAAAATTCGGTGCATCAAATATTTTATTTGTCATGCATGAAAGAAATAGTTAAGTAGCTCATATATTAGTTTCTATGAAAACTCGCTTTAGTTCCATAGAGACATATGATCTCATTAAATAGTATACAAGTAGATATTATTAGTCATGTATTACACATAAGTTTTTCATCTGTTCCAATACTTTCTATAGTTCCCTCTTCTTAAGAACAGTCCAATTGAAAGTTGATGTTGAATTAGAAAAATCTTAGATCATATACAAATACACTTGCGGTGGTCTGGTCCATCTTTTTCCTCTTGTTCTCTGGATTGAAACTTTTCACTCCGAAAAAATCATAACCCCGTGGAATTGTACTCCCCTCTCAAAAATTTTGATGTCGCAACTTGCGCCATGAAACTCCTGTTTTAGTTTTACTCAAAATCAATTTCAGTCTTTCATTTTGCAAGACCAAGACCGCCTAATTGTTGCAAAACCAAAACCATTATTGGTAAAAAAAAAAAGCTGTGAATTTAAATTAATTAATAGTTACTGATACTAGGCACTTTCAGTTACTATTAGAAAGAAATTGGCAGAACCAATATACTTTTTCCAATTTGACATTCGGGGTTTAATTAGATTTTCCCATTCAGAAAAATGACAGCAATATTTCTATAATTTGTAGTGGTAACCATTGCCGGCCTTAGACATTCGGCGCCCCCGTACAATGAAGTCATCCCTCCTCCTCTAAAAAAATTAAGTTTATTTCTTAAGCTGTTTTATTTTATAAAGTATTTGAATTTTATTTCATACAATATTTCTCCGATACAGTTACTTTATTGATAGGCTAAAATTAATAATTTTAATACGTTTTGTATTTTTTTTTTATTTCCAACAAGTGGAGATGCCGCTACATGGTGACAAGGACCCTGAAGATCGACCGGCACCCCCAACGGGCACTCTTCCAGGTAGGAGCCTCGGGGCGATTGCCCCACCCTAAGCCCTATGCCCGAAGGTGGAAACATTTTTTAAATGGTTATTAAATTTTCGACTAAAATCTTTAAACTATAAAAAAAAAAAATCGTCTTAATCGGACTTAATAGTCAGCAATATTACAGTGTATTGAATGTTATAGGCTGATTTTACTAATTGTTCACTTGTCCGTTTACATTGCTTTAGATGATCAACAAAATTGTACTCTTACGATTTCTCTGATCAGTCATCAGGAAAAAAATCTGTTTTTTTTTCTCTTATGTCGTTGGTCATTTGGCAATCCGATATCTTGCTGCACAGTATAATTTAGATTTTTTAATATAAATATTTAAAAATATTTTTTCTCCTATGTCCCTCAAGGCAGGACATGTGTCTAGATGGTCTGCATCCATTGTTCCTTGATGACACAATTTACAGCTAGGATCCTCAGCGACGCCTGTCTTGTAGAGATACGACTCTGCAGATAGTCGTGACCAGTGGCCAGGCGGAAGCAGGCAACCGCGTCTCTTCTCGGCAGTTCAGCTGGAATCGGACCATCCTTCAAACACTCATAACGTTTTCCTTCCACTCTGCCCAATTGTGCTTTTCTTATTTCTTCCTTCACTACCATCTTTACCATTAACCATATTGACTCATAAGGTTTTGGATGTATCGGCTGAGGCAAATCTGTTCCTCGCCATAACATGAAAAAAAACATGTGTATAGTTCTATTACGTTAATTTTAATGAACACATTTCAAATTGGAAAACAATATAAGGAGAGTCATGTGAATGGACACACCAGATTTTTTATTTAAATAATTGGGGACATTTTATAGATTGTCTTTACCTTACAACTTCTTCATTCCAAGGGCCTATCACGATCTTTCTTGACAATTCCTTTGATGTATTATGTATTTAATTTTATTAATTAAGTTGGACTTTATTGTGTTTATACCAATAAAACATCTGAAGAAGAAGAAATGTAAATTTTATTCTGAGACTAATTTCTCTTAGAATAACTACGCTGTACAAATTAATGAAAATTGTCTGACATTAGAAATAATTTAAATTACAAGGTTGTCTAGATCTAAAATTAAAATAAAGAGAAGGCACTGGTAGACATATGAAATTAAAGATAAATTCAGATGTGAGAGTTCACACATTTGTAAACATAAACAATGTGGATATTATCTGTAAATTATCTGTAGGATAACATTAAATGCGACAGGTCTGAAAAACGTGAACATTATTTTAGACATATTCGGAAGATTGATTGCCTAGAAGGATTTGCATATGGAGGTTGGTAGGGAATTTCAAAACAAGGAATCACGCATGAAAAAGAATTTTTTAAAGGAAACAGTTCTATGAGAAGAAATAAATAGGTTTAAGGGCTGGGATCTTGTGTTGAACGGATGGACAGAGGAACAAGGAGTAAACAAATCGATAAGGTAGGAGGGCTCTTTGGTTGAAAAGGTTCGAAAAAGGAATACACCAAGGAAGTATTGCCGTCGGAAGACTGGATTGAGCCACTTCAACTAGCCATACCAACAGGAGACGTGGGAGCGCCTGGGGACTCCAAAAATAAATCTAATGAAACAATTCATTTGTCTCTTTAATATGATCTCAAAAGACTAACATGGAACCCACCTACCAGACTTAAAAGACAAGAGCTTAACCGAGGACTTGGCCAGTTATAAAGACTACTTAACAGAAAATCTAACCTCTCGATTGAAAACAAACTATTATACAAGACCATACTGAAACCCATCTGGACCTACGGACTTGAACTGTGGGGGACAACTAAATTTTCGAACATCAAACGCATCCAATCCTTCCAGTCTAAAGTCCTTCGTATAATAGTCAATGCTCCTTATTATGTTACGAACCAAACCTGACATCATGACCTTAACATCCCTTATGTCCTTGACGTTATTCCATCCCGATTTTCAAATTTTCATCAGAACCTAATCCATCATCCTAATCAGTTAGCACAATCCTTATTCAGTTCCAGTCATCCCTACAATCCTCCTCGAAGGTTAAAGCGGCAGTGGCCTCGAGATCTTTTGTAAAGACGTCATTGGAGTCCTGGCGATGGCCAGCTTCTCCAGTCAAATCATGAGCGTATGTGGTTTTAGCGCCTCTCTCTTAGCTTTAGCGCCCTCTCTTAGTCTCCACTGGATTCTCATCCTAGTGATGCGGCTGAGAGAGAAGCGCTGGGATTTCTTGGAGTCTTGCCTTATCCTCCACACGTGGGGATATTTAATGTTGTATCATGATCGATTTATTCTGTTATTCCAATTTTTATTTTATTGTATTTTGTTATAATCTTGTTTTTCTTTTATTGTATATATGGTATGTTTGTATTTCATTCATCCTAAATACTCAATGCCCTTAATTGAGGCAAAATGTATTTTTTTCTAAATAAAAAAAAAAAATGATCTCAAGCCCACTACAGTCCACCGTATACAAGGCAGCAATGATCAAAATGACGGAAAATGAGTGAGAAAACTATGCATATTCAGTAGCGTTTTTCTAAGAACTAAGGTAACGTGTTTAATAAATAGCAATATTCTAATAGGCAACTATAAAAGGTAAAAGACTCGTCTTGGTCTTGCATTTGGGCAACGCTAGTTGTGATTTATTATCAATATTATTTCATTTTGATTCATTTACTTACCAACGCAGGGATTGAACCATAAAATCCTCTGCCAGCCCATACAGAAATGAAGTTGCAAGTAGTCATTGCCTTTGCAGGCACAATTTGAGCGAAGTGCTGTGCCAAGTATTCCAAGCATAGCCGTCCTGCAAGCTTCAGAGGGCCCAGCGCACTGCTTCGTCACCGCATCCACAGAGCAAGCTTGCACATAATTTTCTAAGCCGACTCTGTAAAAATAACAGTTATAATTCAGCATTAGCCAAGAAAGTAAGGGAATTGAGTTTTTGCTTCCTCATAAAAAAAAAAAAAAAAATGTATAGAAAAGGTATTATCTATATCAAATATTAGACTATCATTTATAATAATAATAATACTTTATTTATTCTGGGACGAGTTCCTTTAGAATAATACAGAAAGACATAAATATGGGCTAAAGAGCCTTAGAGATACATAAATAAAAAAACTGAGTAATTAAACAGTCATAGGAAAAAACTGAAAAATTATAAGTTACTTTCTAATTTTAATCAGTTTATAATAAAAAATAAAAAATAGAAACAAAATAAAAAGGATGAAGTAAAAAAAAAATGAAGAACGAACTAATAATTTATATACATATTTACATTAGTATATATATACAATTTCATGGGGACTGGAGGGATAAGAAATGATTGAACAGGCGGGATTTAAAGATAAGAAGGGCATTGGATTGACGAATGAGAGAGGGGATTTATTAGATTGTGATATATATGTTTTATATATATATAAAGGGTGTCCCAAAATTAATGCATGATTTAAATTAAATATAAAACACAGTTCTTTCTTCTTTTGATTACTTTTTCTTTGACAATTTAAAAGCTGATAGTTTAGGGTTAGTAAAAATAGAGAGTTATAAGAGCGAACAACTTGTTTTAATTTTTTAACAATATTTTAAAAACCATGAAAGCTTCGCGACCGTTAGTGTTGCCAAAAATCGGTCCGCTAACTGTTGCAGACTTCAAGACCATAACTGAAAAAAATCGACTTTTTGAATAAAAATTGAGACAAAATAATTACCAATACTTGACAATCTTAGTTACTATGTGTAAATAATTGGTATAACCAATATACTTTTGCATTTAACTCCATTAATTTTTCAATCGGGCTTAGTTAGGTTTCTCCTATCTAAAATATTACAGTAATATCTCTATTAAAAAAAAGGAATAAGTAAGACTGTTGCGAGACTCTTGCGCAAGACCAAGACTGAGTTTGCAATACCAAGACTCGTCAAGGTCTCGCTTTTGTTCAACACTAGCGGCCATAGTTCGAATGTTTCGTACAAAATATGGTCGGAATAGTGATTTAACTCATTCAACTTTGAAGGGAGTGATTGAGAAATTCAAGCAGACTGGATTAATTGGTGATGCTAAACACACTGATCGTCCAAAACAAGACGTTCTAGAGTCAATACCGAAGCAAGACAAATGACCGCAAGACCTTCATTATTTTTAAAAACCCTTTGTAACGCTCTATTTTCACTAATCCTAAACTATCAGATGTTAAACTGACAAAGAAAAAGAAAAAAAAAAAGAAGGAAGAATTGTGTTTTATATTTATTTTAAATCTTAATTAAGCGTAAATTTTGGGACACCCTATATATACAATTACAGAAGGCCTGGCTCCATCAAATACATTATCACATAAACAAGAATCAAAATAAAGTACTATACAAATATAGAAATAAATCGAAGAAATATTCTTTTTTCATAAATTAGATGAACTAGATATATAAATTGTGATGTAAAAAAACAGAAAAGGAAAAACAACTGTATAACAATATAAATAAAAAGTATTGACTTTGAAGATATAAAAAAAAAAATCAAATAAATATACATTAAAGAAATTTTAAAATAACAATAATATATTCCTATAATACAATGTAGCAGATTGCAACAATACATATGCTCATCTTGTTAGTCGAAGATAACAATGTCTTGTGGTAAACATAAATATTGCTGGCATTTGATATTCATAATAAATGATCTTATTTTAAGGCTCCCTACTGTAAAATAAAATATATCATTTAACTTTGCGAGGTTTTGTATTGTTAACAAATTACTGAGCATTGAATTGTTGTTTTCTGTAATAAATTTCTCTATGTAATGTTCCCTTAGGTCTTTATACATCGGGCATTCTATTAAAAAATGATATAATTTTTTTTAGCTTTTGGAGGTTGCATATAGTACAGTTTTCTTCTCCTTCTAGTGTATGACACCCTATATATATAAATGTTATATATAAAGATACTTGTCCTCTTTTATACCAAGTATGCTTTTTTCACAACTTAAATTTATATTCAGCGGTGTAGACTCCTTTTTTAACGAGTTAATAATAAACAATCGTCTAAAAATTGGTAAATATCTTATTACAATTTACAACATTTTTGTCTAAAAAAATCTGAGAAACAGTGCGTTTTATCATTAAATTAATTATAACATGCTGAATTTTGTAAAAGTTAAGTTGATTATGTTGATACCTGCAGGTAGCGTTGTCTGAACATGCTTTTACTAGATAGTGGCAAGTGGGCGGAACATTGTTCTCTGGTTGTTGAGCACAGATTGGGTGCAACAGCTCTTGTGCTACAAGACATTCATCTTTCGGATTCTTCGTCTTCCTGAAATCAATACAACACCAAATTAATATCCAATAATGTGCTCTACTTATTGAACGATTTGTTAATTTATGCATTTTGTTATTATTATTATTATTTTTTTTACAGATAAATGTTTTGTCAAATATAGCAATCGCCACATTTAATGAGAATAAGTGACCATTCCTACTATCCGTATTTACAGACAAAAAAAACAACAACAAATATAATTAAACTATTGATAAGTGAATAAATAAGAAAATTAATTTTAAAATATCATACCAGACTGAAAGGACAAGAAACCGCTCGACGTTTCCGATTACTTCAGCACTTACTAGACAAACGCTCTAAACTTC